ATTGCAACTCGAGGCTTGAATTTTTCTTCAGTTTTTTCAGCTTGAGAAATGCTGAGCATTTTCTTCCCTTTTGGTTTTCTTTCTCCAAGTCTTTGCTCATTTCGTTATACTTTACTTTGTCTTCCCGAGCAGCCCTTTGAAATCTTTTGTTCAGCCCTTTTACTTCATCATTTCTTGTATTTGCATTAGTTACTCTACATTCAAGAGCAAGTTTCACAGTCTCTTCTGACATCCATTTTGGTCTTTTTTTTTACTTTCATGTCTTTTTAATGACCTCTTGCTTTCTTCATGTCGTCGATGTCATACCACAACTCATCTGGTCTTTGGTCATTAATGTTCAGTGCATCAAATCTGTTCTTGAGATGGTCTCTAAATTCAGGTGAGATACACTCAAGGTCATATTTTGGCGCTCATGGAGTTGTTTTAATTTTCTTCAGCTTCTTCTTGAGCTTGTATATGAGCAATTGATGGTTTGTTCCACAGTCGGCCCCTGACCTTGATCTGACTGATGATACTGAACTTCTCCGCCATCTGTTTACACAGATGTAGTTGATTTGATTCCTGTGTATTCTATCTGGCGAGGTCAACGTGTATAGTCACCATTTAGGTTTTTGAAAAAAGGTAGTTGCAATGAATAGTTCGTTGGTCTCGCCAAGTTCTGTCATGCAACCTCCGGCGTCGTTTCTGTCACCAAGCTCGTATTTCCCTACTCCGGATACTTCTTTGTTTCCAACTTTCACGTTCCAGTCACCAGTAATTATTAGTGCATCTTGATTGCATGTTTAATCAGTTTCAGACTGCAGAAGTTGATAAAAATCTTGAATTTCTTCATTTTTGGCAGTAGTGTTTGGTGTGTAAATTTGTATAATAGTCATGTTAACTGGTCTTCATTTTAGACCTATGGATATTATCCTATCACTGACAGCATTGTACTTCAGGTTAGATCCTGAAATGTTCTTTTTGATGATGAATATGATGCCGTTCCTCTTCAATTTGTCATTCCCAGCATAGTAGACTTTATGTCAGAATCAGAAAACCAGTCCATTTCAGCTCATTAACACCTAGGATATTGATCTTCATGCATTCCATTTCATTTTTGAGGATTTCCGTTTTCTTAGATTCATATTTTGTGTATTCCATGTTCCAAGTATTAATGAATGTTTGCAGCTTTTCTTCTCATTTTGGTTCATGCTTTAAAAAGTAACCACCCAAGTTTTTGTAGAAAATTCTCTCTCAAGTAATAGTCCAGTAATACTATTGGTTGTTCCTGGTCTGTGGATAATTTAGAGACCCAGCCCTAGGGTATAATTCCAAACTGCAAATCATTAAAAGACCAGTTTGCAGAGTTTCAGAGCAATGCTTTAAGGTATGTAGCTTCTGACTGACCTGATCCATGGAGGAAATGTTAAGTATTTACAGAATCTTATGGACTTTAGATTAGTTAGTCCCTCTTATATATTTCTTAATACCAGATTTTGAAAGAAGTTGGGCAGGAGGAGGTTTGAAGCTGACCTAGGGACATGGAGGACAGATATTTTGTATTGCTCATTAAGGGTGGATCCATATGCTTTAAAAATTAACCCAGAAAAAAAGTGTGATTGAAATTCTCTTGTGAAAATGAAAAAGCCTAGTTAAAACTCTTGGCTGTATAGAATGTCATCCTGCTTTTATATACAGAAAGGCAGAGAGTGTTCATGGCCAGGTTACTACAAATACATGAAAGACTTCATTTTAACTCTGATAAGATAGATTTTAGACCAAAAACATAGTGAAGGGTACTACTTCTTGAATAAATGCGTAATGAATAATAATATAAAAATATTTAATTTATATTTGTCATTTATCAAGGCTAAAAATCACTTAAAAATATGAATTTGGGAATTTTTTATACAGAATTATAAATGAAGAAAGGAAATCAAAAATATAGCTTATGCATTTTAGTAGAATGAAATAGATTTATGGAGAGTCTGGGATAAATAGATATAAACGCTTTTCAGAGGTACATAGACGTTGCAAAATCATTTTTGCGCTTAGTTTTTCAGTAATTATAAAAACAAACCGGGTTCTACAGGATGTATATATAAGCGCATGATCTTACGGTTGGGACACTGTAGGAAAAAAGTAGTAATGGAGTCAAAAGGAAATCACTGTCATAATTACATAAAGTTAGTGAAAATCTGTAAGATTAATTTCTGTCTCTGATAAATGAATGGAATCTTAACCCAGTCAGTTTATATCCATGGCTGCTTTTCTCTAGGTTGAAATTGCCTAAGATATGAGTACCTTTATGTTGATTAAAGTAAACCAGATTGTTTCAGTCCTCTGCAATGTGTAAGATCCTGTTCCCCGATATCAAGATCTACACTTGGTATTATCAGAACTTAAATTTTTTGCCAGTGTGATGGGAATGATATCAAGTTGTTTTAATTTCTCAGATAATTGGTGAGGTTGAACATCTTCATGTTTTCTAGTGTTTTCCTTTGTTGCTTGAACTATTTGTATCTTTTCAGAATTCCTTTTTACCATCTCAAAATTATTCTTAAATGTTTTCTTCTGCAGTTTTGTGTTAATATGCAGCTGTTTTAATTCTCCTGGAATTTATTTTTGGTGTTCATTGATATGGGAATTTGATCTGTTTCCATGCGGCTAGCTAGTTGTCTGAAATTAATTTTTTGAATAGTTTATTCTCTTCCCACTTACTTGTAATGTCTGCTATTTGCCAAGCTCCCCATGCATCTGTGTGTGGGTCTGTTTCAAGGCCCTGTATTGTCTTCCACTGGTCTATCGTAGTATGTTCTAAACTAGAAATTTTCTTATGAAATGCTTCAAGTACATACAAAGAGAGTATAGTATAATGAATCCCCCCGTATACTCATTACACAATTAACAGTTACCAAGAATTTACCATTCTACGGTTATCTTTGTCTTTTGTTGATATATTTTAATGCATATTCCAGATCTTAGTTTATTTTGCCACTCTATACTTAAGCATGCATTTCTATTATCATACTGTCAAGATTAATAAACATTTTTAATATTATGTAATATCCCAGTTGATATTCAGATTTGTTGGATTATTTTTTAAAATATATCTTTGTATAGTAGGTTCGTTTACATCAGGATTCCAACTGGGATTGAATTTGGTTTTGTTTCCTAATTCTTTTTAAATTTTGAGCAGAACTCTCCCATCCCTACCTTCTTTTTAGTTTTTCCTACCATTGACTTGTTGAAAAAATAAGTAAGTTTTTCTTTACGTATCCCACATTCTGGATTTGTGTATGCTTTTTTATGGTGTCATTTAACTTGTTCTATCTCCATATATCCTGTAAACTACCATTTACCTTCAATGGCTTGATTAGATTTAGGTTCATCTTCTTTGAGGGGTAGGCAAAGAATACATCATAGGTGATGCTGGTACCTCAGGTATTATCACATCAGAAGTGCGTGATGTCTGCATGTTTCCCACTCCTAGCAGTGCTAAGATTGAATTAGTGGGATTTAGGTGGTTTCATCTGGATCTCTCCATAATAAGGTTTTGATCTGGTGGTTCATCCATTGATGAACATTCTCTTGTCAACTGGAATACTTGGTTACACTCAAATACAGTTGGTATAAGAGAAACAAGATAAATGGTTTATACTTTCCCTTTAATTTGTCAGTGTTAAGGGTAAGCAGTTGGTTACTAACTTAGTTCCAGTAGTGACCAATGATTGTTAGTGTCGTTATTCATGATTAACATGTCATTAGACTAGATTTTCTAGTTGTCCTCAATGAAGTTAATCTAGATTACCTAGACTGTCATTACCTAAAGCAGAGGTCAGCCTTTTCTCTTAACTGCTTATGCATCTTGTATTGTTTCATTTTAGAAGAAGCATGTATTTTTAAATTTTAAAGATATATAAACTTTAAATGAAAATGTTAACTCATTCTACTAATTCTCAGTTTTTTGGTTAGTTTTGAGATTGTGAGAGTTCACTTTTTTTTTTAGTTCACTTTTTTTTTAAATGAGCAAACCTCCACTCTTGTTGATTTTTGTTGTTCATGAGTGCCTTAGGAGACCCCATATGTTACAGAGTAGAACTGCTCCATAGGATTTTCTTGGTTTTAATCTTTACAGAAGGAGCACTGATAGCACAATGGTCAAGCATTTGTCTGCTAACTGAAATGTTGGTGGTTCGAACCCACCAGCCACTCCATGGGAGAAAAATGTGGCAGTCTGCTTCTGTAAAGATTACAGCCTTGGAAACCTTACGAGGCAGTTCTACTCTGCCCTGTAGGGTTGCTATGAGTTGGAATCAGCTTGATGGCAATGGGTTAATCTTTACAGAAGCAGATCACCAGGCCTGTTTCTTCGGCCTTGTGGCTGGGTGGTTTCGAACCACCAACCTTTTGGTTACCAGCTGAACACGAACCATTTGTGCCACCCAGGCACCTTAGATTTCACATTTTTTCATGTGTTTATTGGTCAGTTGTATTTTCTCCTTTTGCCAGTTGTTCATGTCCTTTCTCCTGGTCTTTGGTGATCTTCATCTTACTGATTTAGGAAGGCTTTTTGTCTATTAGGGATAATAACCCTTTATCTCTTGTTGCAGTTTACACTGCAGTGTATACTTTGCCTTAACTTTTTTAAGTTACTCTTTTGGAAGTGGTTATAATAAATACAAAGATTCTTTGAAATATGCTTCTTTTCTAGGTATCCTGTATAGCATAGCTATTCTTAGTATTATAGAATATTAATCTGTTTTCTTCTAGTATTTTTGTTTTTTATGTATTTAAATATTTAATCTATATAAACAATAAATGTTATGTTAATGCTTTGCTCCAAATAAGTTGAGTGTGTCTGTATTGACATGAAATAACACGCCTTTTGTTTGGGTGGACCCTACTAATGAATGTTCTTGTTGTTGTTTGTGCCATCAAGTCGATTCCAACCTATAGTGACCCTGTGTGACAGAGTAGAACTGCCTGATATGGTTTTCTAGGCTGTAATCCTTATGGGAAGAGATTGCCAGGTCTTTTTCCTGTGGAGTAGTTGGATGGGTTTGAATTCAGTTAGTAGCTGAGCACTTAATCATTGCACCACTAGGGCTCCTCTGATGAATGTTAAAACCACCTAACAACTAGTGTTCTTAAGTGACATATAGTAGCAGAAAAAGAAACTCATTAAACAAGATTATAGATTATGCTGTATTAATTATGCAAGGTAAAAATAAAAAAAATAGTGAGTCTTGTATTTCCTAGACAAATAAATGTAGTAAGATGATATACTATCAGTATTTTTACATTCTTGTAAATTTGAGTAGTACATTTATCTCCTTTGTATAATAAATGTTTTTATTCCTCTTATTTTGGATAGACACTTGGCATTTCACCTGAAGAGAAATTTGTTATTACAACAACAAGTAGGAAAGAAATTACCTGTGATAATTTTGGTAAGTAAACAGTGTTATTAAGTTCATGCTTTTATATTTACTGCGTCCTAGTACATGATAGGGCAATAACAATTTTATTACATGCATATACATTAAAACTATTGATGATTTTGGTTACTTTGATTGTTGAAATGGAGGAAGAAACTGGCTGTCTGTGCACAGTTTACTCAAAGGTCATTTATTTCAAGCAAGATTTTGGGAAAATAGTTGCTATCATCTGTGGCTACAGAAGATGAGACCTTACCCAACACCTAGCACAGATCCTTTGTTTGGGTCCTTAAGAAACTATTTCTCTGTACTTACTTGGATTCTTTCATTATCTTTTTTAATCTAATTAGTTACAAAGACCTGCCAGTTTGTCATGCCTGATTTCTTTTGAATTTTACCAGTCTTCTCTATTCATGTTAATACCACTCTAATCCAAATCCTCATCTGATTTGTTGTGATAGTTCAGCTTACTAAGAATTGAGTGTTTCAGATAAATGGATATGTTTGGGCCTGTTCCATGATATCCTTAGCAAAACGCAACTAAATTTGTAGATAGCTCCATTGTTTTGAGATTTGCTTATGCCATCTTTAAAGATGTTTCATAGGTACGGTTTTCAAAATTGTAAGTTCAATGAGTTTCTGATGCTAGCCTAGCACTTAGGATTTTACCTCTTGATTGCAGATGAAACTGTTAAAGATGGAGTCACTCTGTACTTGCTGCAGTCAGTCAATCAGTTACTACTCTCAGCTACAAAAGAACGAATTGACTTCCTACCTCACTATGACACACTGGTTAAAAGTGGCATGTATGAATATTATGCGAGTGAAGGACAAAATCCTTTGCGTAAGTATTCCAACAATACTATTTTTGATAAACGATTGCTCTTCTTTATCCCCTAGTTTCCTGTCCCATTCCTTCACTTTTTGTAAATTCTCTCATTCTACTTTATGAGAAGACAGTGTCCACTCATTGCAAGCTTTCTTACTCCAACCTCTTCATCACTATGTATTTCTTTTTCTACTTAAGTCATCTTACTTCATGGTAGAGATAACTTTTTTTTAAAGCTAGTCTAGTACTAGAATTTATTCTTTTTCAGCTCGTGAGGGTCTTGTGCCTACATGTCTTTTTGCCTTTCATATACTCCCCTCTCCTGATTGATGCTTCCTGGTGTCCTCTAAACCTCTCCCAAATTGAGAAAATATTTGCTTTACCTTGTATGCTTATATAGCTGAACTGCACAAGTAAGTAGTTGTGTTCTTGTCTCCGTTTCTTTGTCATTTCCATCCACCTTTACTACTTAGCACTTTCTATCCTACCTCTGGACTGTTTGCTAGATCTTTACAAACTAGGCAGTTTACCCAGTCTTCCCTCTCTGAACCTTGCCAAAATGTTTAATACTGCTTAGATGTTCACTATAAACATAATTATTAGAAATATTTCTTATCATTGTAATAGTTTGTAAGAAATTAGGAAGCATAGATAAGCAAAAAGAACATAAAGAACATGTGTTTTCCTACCACCCAGATATACTGTATTTTTATGCAGATAATGCTCTTCCCCCACGAGGTATTTTCATAAGCATACTATGCTAGTTTCTTTTGTAGCAACATATTAAAAAAATTGGCACAGCGGTGCCTATGAAAGTACCTTGAGAGGGGAGGGTGTGGTTGGCAAATGTAGAAGGCATGTGTTTGCATTAAAATGCAGTAACCACCACAGACACTTTGGTGTTTATCCTTCAGACCTTTTCATATTGTCTGTTCTTTTTTTTAAGATGAGTTTATACTGTGCATACTTTTTAGGCCTTCTTTTTAGCTTAAAAGTAAAAGGAACATCTTTCCATGTCAGTATATGTTTGTTTTTAGTTGTATTTAGGTAATAGTTTATTTGAACAGTTGTCTTCTGTTATACATTGTCATCTGTCTTACCCCATCTGTCCTCTGCTGGCTTGTTTAATCTCTTTTATATTTCAAAAGAGTTCGACTGAAGGTACACTCTACATTAATCCTGCGTCATTAACATAACAAAGACAGCCCATTCCCAAATGGGATTATAACCACAGGCATAGAGGTTAGGATTTACAGCACATATTTTGGGAAGACATAATTCAATCCATAACAAACATTAAGGTTGTTTTCAGTGATTTTATTGTTAAAAATGCTGGAATATTTTTGTGATGAAATCTTTGTGCACATGCTTACCTTAACTGTTACTACTGCTTTTACTGCAATCAGCTGCAGTGTCTGGCATTGTGCCAAGTGCTTTATAAGCATTATTTCACTTACTCGTTAATCCTGTTTGGTAGGTAATGTAACTGGCCTTATTTTGCAGAAGAGACTGATGCTAAGAGATTTTAGTAGCTTGCCAAAGGACACACTGCTGATAAGCAGTGGGGCAGGATTTGAACCCTAGCAGTGTGACTTCAAAGCTTGAACTCTTAGTAGTACATTTATTACGTCCTACATTGTTCTTTTTGCACAAACAGGCTCATATTTCTCTCATCTTAAAAATCTTACCATATCACTTACCCCAACAGTCTGTCCAATTATTTTGCTTCCTTTTACAACGAAACTCCTTAGAAGAATTGACTGTGTTCACGATCTGCAGTGCCTCTCCTCCTCCCGTTTTGCCCCACTCACTTTGACCTGGTGTTTCCCCAACCACTGTACTACACTTTCTTTTGCAGGGTCACCAGTGACTAACTCCATTGATCAGTTTTCAGTTCTCATTGAATTATGGCATCTCTTGACACTTCTGCCTCCTTGATACACTTTCTTCACTTGGCTTTTGAGAGACCACTCTCTGTTGATTTTCCTCCTATCTCAGTGGCTGCCCTCATTCCTCTCTCCCCACCATGAAGTGCCTCATGGCTTAACCCTTGGTTCTTCTGTCTTCTCTCTCACTTCCTCACTTGGTGGTCCCGTTCGTTCTCATAGCTTTAAATACCATCTTTGTCACAGTGACTCACAAATCGAGATGGTGAGAAATAGTCATTTTAAATACTGAAAATAGTGCCAGACTTCTCTCCTGAATTCTAATTTTGTCTATCCAGCTGTCCACATGGCATCTCCACTATGTCTGAAACAGGAGCCCTGATCTCTTTACTCAGTCATGTACTACCCATAGTTTTCCCCATCTCAGTTGATTATCACTCCATCCTTCCAGTTGCTCAGGCCAAAAATCAAATTGATTCTTCTTTGTCTCATACCTCACATTCAATATGTTAGGAAATCCTGTTAACACTATTTTCAATATTTATCTAGAGGTGACCATTACTCACAACCTCCATTGCTACTGCTTGGTCTGAGATGCTGTCATATCTCACCTGGATTATACAGTGGCCTCTTAACTGGTCTCTCTCTTCATCCTTGCCTGCATAGGGACTGTTAAGTAGATTGTGTCAGTCCTTTGTTGAAAACACTTATGACTCCCATTTTCACTTTTGCCAGTCTTTATAATTACTTACAAGGCCTTAGCAATCCTGCTTTGTACCTCCTTGACCATATTGCCACACTGGCCTCCTGGCTGTTCCTCCAGCTTGCTAGCTATAGTCTCAGCTTAGGACCCCCTGCCTGAAATGCTCTTCCCCCAGATAGCCCCTTGTCTCATTCCCTTACCTCATTGAAGTCTTTTTTATCTGTTACCTTCTCAACAAGGAAACCCTGGTTGCATAGTGGTTAAGAGCTACATCTGCTAACCAAAAGGTCAGCAGTTTGAATCCACCAGGTGTTCCTTGGAAACCGTATGGGGCAGTTCTGCTCTGTCCTATAGGGTCGCTATGAGTAGGAATCGACTTGACAGCTGCAGGTTTGGTTTTTTTGGTTTCTCAACAAAGCTTACCTTGATCATCTTACTTAAAATTGCAATGTGTTCGCCCATGCTCTTGCTGTTGTTTGATCCGTTTTCCCTGCTGTTCTTCCCCATAGCACGTTGTTTTCAAACATGTTTTAGAATTTACTTATTTATTATGATTATATATAATTTCTTGTCTTCCTCCACTAGAACATTAAATCCACAAGTGCAGAATTTTTATCTGTGTTGTCTAATTCCTAGAACAATGCCTGGTACATCATTAAAAAACAAACAAAAATTTTATTCTTTCTTTGGAGATAAATTTTTAAATGTACAATTGTGGAGATAGCTGATATGTTTATATCTAAGACTTTTGATATAGATTGTTCAATTACCTTCCAGATTGGTTATACCAGTTTTTATTCCCACTGTCATTATATGAGTAAGATAATCACTGTTTATACACTTAGTTTGATTTCTTTGACTTGACTCTGCATTCTTGATCTTTCTCTACCTCTGTTTCTTTTAACTTTGGTGTTGCTTCTGGTTCTTCTTGGCCATGTATCTGGTGGATGTTTTGTCCGCTCATACTGATCTTTTCTTTTTATACTTTTCTCTTAGTGAACTGATCCAAGCCTTAACTATTATATCTATGCCAATGAAGCAAAAGTCTTTATCTCTGGATGTCTTTGTTATTTAAATTCAGCGTGGAATCTGCTCCATCTTCCTGTGGAATGCCTCTACTCATTGAGCTTGGTAGGGCATAGTATCTAAAACTGAATTTTTCTTTCCTCCCCTATAAATTTTCTGTGATGGGAAATATTAACATTTATCCAGTCTCCCAGAGGCAAAAATTTAAAACCATCTTTGATTTCTTTTTCTCTCTTTTTTTCTCATTCAACAATTTGTACACAAAATTGTTTTGTGACATTGGTTGCAATCCCTGTGATGTGTCAGCACTCTCCCCTTCCACACCCCAATTCCTCTTGTCCATCCGTCTGTTTTTCTTGTCCCGTCCTGCCTTTTCATCATTGATTTTGGGCAGAAGTTGCCCTTTTGGTCTCATATACCTGATTGAACTAAGAAGCATGTTCCTCAAGTGTGTTACTGTTTGTTTTATAGACCTGTCGGATCTGATCATTGGCTGAAGGGTGTCTCTCCTTTTTTAAGTTCTATTTAGTGCTTTCCTCCACGTTTCTCTTAAGTCTCTCTTCCTCCCATTTCCTACAGTGTCTCCTCTCCATTTTCTAGAGTATTACCCTTATCCAGATCCTTGTCAAGATCCTTCTCACTAGTTTATAAAACATCTTATCACTAGTTTCACAAAACATTGGTGCCCTTAAGTGCTAAGGGTGAGTGCAAGTGCTTGCTGGCCTGCTACTTTGTGGATTAATTACAGCTTTAGTTAGGTTAAGCTTCAGTGGAAGTAAGTGACATAAATTTGGCATGTGACCCTTTCTTTTTAATTAAGGGAATAAAAGCAGGAAATAGTTTGAATAGTGACCTTGAAGAGAGGAGAACATTAGTTAGTGCAGAGCCAGGGAAAAATTGAATGTCAGGTTGGTTGTGTGGTAGGGAATCAGTAGCAGTTCTGTGTCAGTTAAGCAGACATGTTTTGCCATTTGACAAGTGTCTGTTAGTCATAAGAATTCCATATCTAAATTAGCTTTTAAGAGACTTTTATAATTGCTTCTTATTTGCCCCATACTTCTGAATGTGCTCAGTTTTGACTTATGCATGATGTAATTTCATACCACAGACTACTACTTGATTTTATGGTTATGGTCTTCCGTTTATCTTCTATGTCTGTATGTCTGTCTTTAGATTATAAACTCCTCGAAGCCAGGAATCATGGCTGGCTGACTCATACTGTATAGTGCCGTGCAAGTACTGGTTGATGAGTGCTTTTTTCTGCTGGTGGTTATTGGTGATGATGCCTTTATTAAGTATTGTATCATTAGGATCAGGATAATACTTTAATTCTAGCTCTTTGGAAAATAAAAGTGATGGCTTAAGGTACTTCAGAGTCTCTTCTACTTTGAACTTTTATATGAAGTATTTGGAAGGGAAAAGTTAAGCAATAATATTTTTCATTCTCTTCTAGCATTTGCTCTTGCAGAATTAATTGATAATTCACTGTCTGCTACTTCTCGTAACAATGGTATAAGAAGAATACAGATAAAATTGGTAAGAAAATACTATAAAGCAATTTAACTTTTCCTTTCATAAAATTGGTGCAAGTTTGTTTTGAGAAAAATTAGAAAATAAAGATGAACTAAAAGTAGAAATAAGTATCTGATGTCTTTTTATCCATTGGTAAAATTTTTTCATAGGTCCTTTTTTCTGTACATACATGTATGCATGTATGTGTGATCATATTGTACATTTTATTTTTTTTGTAGTCTGCTTTCCCTTAGCAGTCCATTGTAAACATTTCCAAATCATTAATGTTCTGCAGTATTGTATCCCATTGCTGCAGAGTGGTTTATTGGCTGTAATAAGAATTATGTAGTCAATCTTCTATTGTTGAACATTTAGATTTTTTCTGTATTTTTGCCATTGTAAGCAATACTGGGATGATGGACAGCCTTACAGGTCTTTGTGCACATTTCTGATTATTTCTTTAAGTTAAATTCTGAAAAAATGATGTTTGTAGGTTAACAGGCATGTAGAATTCTAAGGCTTTTGAAACATAGCTGAAGTGTCTTTCAGAAAGTTGTGTTAATTTACATTTCCACCAGCAATGTATGAGGGAGCCTGTTAAATCACTTTTTTATATTTAACGTTTTGTGTTTTTAATATTGGTTTGACTTTTCCTTTCTTTCTAAACTTATTTTGTTTCATAGCTTTTTGATGAAGCACAAGGAAAACCTGCTGTTGCAGTGATAGATAATGGAAGAGGAATGACCTCTAAACAGTTAAACAACTGGGCTGTATATAGGTTGTCAAAATTTACAAGGCAAGGCGACTTTGAAAGGTTAGAAAACCTTATTCACTTTTTTTTTTTTTTTTAAATGGGCAGTTGTGTATTTTAGTAAACATAAAAACTCTAATATGCCTTTAGATTGACATTACATGGGAGTGTTTGATGTTATAAACATACATATTTATATCATAGAATTTTTATGATCAGTACTTAGAAACAGGTAAAGCTGCATAATATGATGCCCTTTCATTGAACAGTTCTTTTTGCATTTCCTGATGTTTGCAGGAGTTATGTTGATATGTTGAGTACTTTGGAGCTTTTCCCCTTTTCCTTTTTAAGTGTAATGAAAGCTGTGTAGCCTCTGGAACAGTAGAATAGTTTCCTAATTGGCTTTAGCAATCACCTGATGCCACTTGCATAATGTATAAAGAACCGCATGGGTTTTGTGGAACACACTGTTGCTCTATTTTTAGGGCTCTGTGTTGTAAAACATTGACAGCTATTAAGGAATTGAATCTAGTTGTGAGTTTTGTATCAGAATACGATTGTAGAAAATATCCTGTGAATGTCATAGGGAAAACAAAATATGCCAAAAGCTGTCAGGGATGTAAAGATTTAGGTCTTGGTATATTAGCTGAATTCTGGTAAAAACAGTGATGACCAGTAGTCTTTTGATGCTTTTAGACATGTCGTATACTTCATATAACGTTCTTGGGAAGAATCTGTTGGTATTCTTTTTCAGTAGTTGTGTTTGTTCATTTCTCTGTTTTGCCTGTTGCTGTGTCAAGGAACATCAGCCAAATTTAAGGATCAGTCACAGTGGTGTATTACAGTTAATACAGTTAGCTCATTTGCCTTCCTGTTTCTGAAATTTTGGCACCCTCAGAATTTTCATGGGGTTGTAAAGACTTAACCGTGCTGTGTTGAGAGGCAGTATAGTTTAGAACAAGGGCTCTGGAATCACTTGGCCTGGTTTAAATCTTAGCCTTGCCACTTACAGTGTAACATTGGTTAAGGTACTTTTCCTTTTCTGTGGCTCAGTTTCTGTATCTGTAAAATAGGAGTAATATTTCATGAAGTTTGTGAAGATTAAATGAGTTAGTGCATGTAAAATCATTAGATCAGAGTCTGGCATACAGTAAGCAATCAATAAATATGAAGTATAATTAATTATTACTTCTTGTTCTTGACCTCAGACTCTTCTACAACCCTTCTTTTTCACTATTTTATGGGCACATGCTGCTTCCAAGAATGTTTAAGTTAGCCAGGGAGAAGACAAAGACCACTGTCTTTTAAAGTCTAAATATAGGATTTAGCATACAGTAGATTGAAATATTAGAACAGAAAGGAGAACAGATGGTAGACTGGACAGAAAGGTCAGAAAAAGATTAGGTAAACCAGTGGGAAGAGTAGAAAGAAGTGAAGAGAATCTACAGTTTATTAAAATAAATTCAGATCTTAACTGGATTCATGGAACACTGACTCTGAGTTTTCACTAAGTCTTAGCATGACACAAACTTTTAAACTTAACCCTAATGTTAAGGAGGTTTGTTTAGTTTCTGGTAAAAATCTGTCTGTTGCTGGTTTTGGTCTAGCTTTGTAGGTGTTGTGTCAGTAAACAATCAGCCATTGTTAAAGCAGTTATGTACTTCTGCTTTCAGTGCAGGACCGTCCCTTGACCCACTCCAGTTTCTGTCACCATCAGATGCCCTTCCCTCCTCTCCCCTGCAGCTTCTTCTCTGGAAAAATATTATCACTTGCTTCACTGCTTCCAGTTTAGCCTTTTCTGGATGCAAAAAGAATGCCAACAGATTCCAAAGCAGGCTATGGAAGAAAAGGAGGGATAGCCTACAAGGACGGAACAGCTGACAGATAGTCTTTAACTATAGTTTATGTTCTAGTAGAGAAGGAAACAAAAGTAAGCACCAAAAAGTGCATTTATGAACATTTCAGTTATTGATTATTACTCTGAAGAAAAAACAGAGTAATATGGTAGAGTGTAATGGGAATCTCCTTTAGCTAAGGTAGTTGGTGAAGAAGGCCTCTTTGAGAAGGTTACATTTGAGTTGAGGCCTGAGTGGAAGACCTGAGGGAAGAGTATTCCAGGTAGAAGGAAAACCAGCAAAGGCTAAGACCCTGACGTTGTGACAAGCTTGTTTTGTTTGAGGGATGGAAAGAAGATCAGTGTTGTTGGAACTTAGTATATGAAGGGGGGAGTAAAGGGAGATGAGGTCAGTGCCTAATTTGGGAATATTCTTCATAGCTTTTGTTCACCTGGGAACTACCCCCTCTCCCCACCCTTTTTTATTTTGAAAAATTTCAAGCAACAGATAAGTTGAATGAACAGTACTGGGACCCGTATATCCTTTACCTAGATTCATCACTTGCCATATTTGTTATCTATCTGTCTACACAGGTACACACTCCCTGTGGGTATGTGTGCGCCAATGCATGCGTGTGTACACATACTTTTCTTTTCCTGAATCAGCTGAAAGTAAACTGCAGACTTCTTGACATTTTATTCCTGAACACTGCAGCATGTATCTCCTGAGAACAAGGACATTCTCATAAATAACCATAATACCATTATTCACACTCAAGAAATTTATCATTGATAAGATAATGGCTAATATAAATATAATGTCTATATTCATTTTTTTTTTATGTTTTATCTGTCTAGTCTCTTATTCTGTGATCACTTCTCACTTTCGTGTCTTTCGTGACGTTGTCATTTTTTGTAGTGTTCAGGCTAGTTTTCTTATAGAATTTCCACGGTCTGGATCTGAGTGTTACTGTTGCTTTTTTCAACATTTTCTTCTGAACATATGCAAACATACAGAAAAGTTGAAATTCTACAGTAAATATCAGTATACCCACACTTGCGTTCTAGCATTGACCCAGCAGTTCCACTACTAAGAATATACCCAAGGGACTTGAAGGCAGCGATGCGAACAGGCATATGTATGCCAGTGTTCATTGCAGCACTATTCACAATAACCAGAAGGTGGAAACAACCTAAGTGCTTATCAGCAGATGACTGGATAAACAAAATGTGGTGTATATATATGCAATGGAATACTACTCAGAAAGAGATGGAGCTTGAAGACATTATACTGAAACAAGTCGATCACAAAAGGATAAGTATTGTATGACCTCACTTATATAAAAAGACAAAAACAGGCAAAGTTTAGTAGTATATATAAAAAGACAAGAACAGGCAAAGTTTATTAGTGGTTAGCAAGGGCAAGGATGGAGGGGAAGGGGGATTGCTTATGGAGCACTGAGTTTCTGTTTATGGTGATGGAAAATTCACGTTGATTAAGGGTAATAGTTGCATAGCCAGTTAATGTAATTGATGTCAGTAAGTTGAACTGGCAAATGTTGTGTAAGATATATTTTCAACAACAACAACAAAAAAGGCTGCTTATGTACAACCAAACACCTCATGGGATTTCGTTCCTTGGTTTGGAGACCTAGGCTCATGGTTTCATGGGTCATCCCAGTTAACTGGCCTAATATTGTGTTGAGTGCTTCTGTTCTACCTCCTAGTTAGTTGCATAGTGCCTGGTGTCTTAAAAGCTTGCAAGTGGCCATCCAAGGTATAAGAATTGGTCTCTATTCACTGGAGCAACAGAGGAAGAACGAAAGTCAGGAATAGGAGGAGGAAATGGAGTGTGTGGCTTTGTGCCTCCTTTGCCAGGAGACCAGAAGAACTGGATGGTGCCTTGCTACCATTACTGAATGTCCCCCCCGCCCCCGCCCTGATCAAAAGGGGGAAAATGCAGATGAGAATTTCAGATTCTCATGGAATCCAGAATTTCTAGAGCCATGGAAGCTGGATGAACCTCTTAAACTTTTGACCTGAGATAAAATTTAAACCTTAAACCAAAAATATCTCCTGAATTCTTCTTTAAATCAAACTATAGTTTAGCTTAACTAGTAAATAATGTCTGCCTTGCACATTGTGATCTTTTAAGAAGTATCTATATGGGATCAGATTGACAACAGTAACTTGAAAGATTAGATAGGAAACAAGGCGTAGTGAGTTTATATTAATGGGGGAGGAACGATTCGAAAAGGGAGGGTGAGAATAGTTGCACAACGTGGGGAATGTAATCAGTGTCACTGAATTATACATGTAGAAGTTGTTGAATGGTGTATGTGCTACTGTGTGTATTTTCAACAACAACAAAAATAAAATAAATTAACAAAACAAACCAAAAACTGATGTCCTGATTTGGACTTCTGACTTCCAAAACTGTGAGAAAATAAATTATTGTTGTTTAAAGCTGAAAAAAAAAGACCCTGCAAGTGGAAGTTCCCAGAGATTTGCCCAATAGGGCAAATGATACAGTTCTCTTGGGAGGGGCTTTTGGGGAATTCTAAACCTCTTCTGGAAACCCTGATGGCATAGTGGTGAGTGCTATGGCTGCTAACCAAAAGGTGGGCAGTTCAAATCCACCAGGTGCTTCTTGGAAATTCTGTGGAGGCAGTTCTACTCTGTCCTGTAGGGCTGCTATGAGTCAGAATTGACTCCACGGTAACGGGTTACACCTCTTCTGCCCCCTCCAGTGACTGCTAGATCACTAGTTTTCACTATTTGTGGGGCCATTTGCTTTCAAGGCCCCCATGGAGTTGGTGAGAGGAGAATGGGGTAGGGGAAATTAAAATGCCACAAAGCTTGCTGTTCTTACCAAGATTCCATTGTGTTTCTTGAATAAACACTCCTTGGATTATTGTAAGCCTTTGGTTAATTTCCAGAGGTCTGAAAAAGTTTATTTTGAACGTTTTCACCACAGTGCTGTTTTTGTGCTTGAGCAGATTTTCAGAGGTTTGTCATTCTGGAAGTGCTCACTGTATTCACTGATGTTTGACAAATGCATGCACCTGTATAACCCAAACCCCTGTCATGATACAGAACATTAATGAACCCAGAAAATTCTCTCATAACTTGGGTACTGTTATAATCATTAGAATTTAAATGGGTACCTGGAACATAATTCTAATCTTGTGTGATCATTTATTTTGTGGAGGAAAGAGGTGTGATATTA